GCAGCAGCAGCAGCAGCAAAAGCAGCAGCAATTCAATTAGGATATTTTAATAAGATAATAGGTAAATTCAGGTGTACGTACACCTCAACTAGGTGACACCCGCAGCGCGAAGCGACTTCTTGTCGGCAGCAGAGGCCGCTCCTAACCTAAACCCTAAACCCTAAACCCTAAACCCTAAACCCTAAACCCTTAGTATATAATATTATCCCTTAAATAGACAAAGAGTTACCAAGAAGAATAAAGGAAGAAATAGACAAAGACAGCGGTGTCTTTAGAAAAAAAAAAAAAAAAAAATAAAATAAATAAAGACAAGGAAGGATGAGGTGTATATACACCGCAAAAAAAAAGACAAAATATAAATAAATAAAAAGAATAAATAAACAAAAAAAAGAAATAAAGACACAAATATAAGAAAGGCATCAATAGGACAATTCTATATAATATATTATATATAGTGTATATAATATATATATAACTAAATATGTATATATATAAATAACTATATATAAATAGTTATTTATTTATTTATATTTAGTTATATATATTATATATAGTTATTTATTTATTAATAGCTAGTTATATATAGATAGTATACATAATACATAATACTAATTCTATTTAGTTATATATATACATAAGACTATATATAGAAAAAAAGAGAGAAAAAAAGAAATAAATCAATAAATAAAGAAATAATTATCTATTTATAGCTATTAAATAAAATATAGAGAAAAATATTTCTTTTAATGCATTTGCGGTGTATGTGCACCTCAGAGGTGCCTATACACCGCAAAAAATAATGAATAAAGAACCAATTAAACCCTAAACCCTAAACCCTAAATAATAATTTAAAATAAATAAATAATTAAAAGAAACAATTAAAGTGTCTTTTTGTCTTTTTATTATTGTCAGAGCTGCGCATACACCCCAATTTATTGGGGTGTATGCATGCAAAATACGCATGCATGCATGCATGCATGCATGCATGCACAAATGTTTAGTCAATAAGACAACATATGCATGCTGCTGTTGCTGCGAGAGCGGGAGCAGCCTCAGGAGCTGCAGCAGGTGCAGCAGCAGCAGCAGCACTTGCTGCTGCTGCTGCAGCAGCAGCAGCAAATAAATTTGGGGTGTCTAGACAGGTGTTATATTAAGGGTAATGTCTTTGTACCTGCTCTATGATAGTAAGAATGTTATCTACACGAGGATCTTTATCCCCCACCTGCAACACAAACCCTAAACCCTAAACCCTAAACCCTAAACCCTAAACCCTCATTATCCAGGTGTATGTACTATTTATTAATTCATAGGAACAACAGGAGCAAATACTAAACCCTTTATTGTTGCAGAGTATACATGAGTTATGCATACACCTGAATAGTGTGTATACACCTGAATAATAATAATAAATAAAATAAATAAATAAAATAAATAAAATAAATAAATAAAATAAATAAAATAAATAAATAAATAAAAAGAATTACCTCTTGTTTAAGTTTAATTAAATAAATAAAGTTAGCATATTTCCTCCCGATGTACATACACCGTAAAAAGAGGAATCTTTTCCTTAATGTTATTTCCTCATTTATATAATCCTCTATTAATATACGCATATAATAATATAATAACTGAATAAATATACACACATTAATGCATGCATGCATGCATGCATGCATGCATGCAGACAGGCAGGCAGGCAGGCAGGCAGGCAGGCGTGCATGCATGCATGAAGCAGCAATGCAGCAACAACAACTGGTTAGGGCAAATCTATGTAGGGTTTCATGGGATTAGGGTTTAGACATTATTAGGGTTTAGGGTTTAGGGTTTGCTTACCTCCTCTGCCTCAGTACCTGTTGGCATTGGCTCGCCATTTGCTTCTGCTGCTTCCCTCCTGAGACACAAAAAGTCTACCCTAAACCCTAATTAAACCCTAAACCCTAAACCCTAAACCCTAAACCCTAATTAAACCCTAGACTCTAAACCCTAATTAAGCTCTAAACCCTAAACCCTAAACCCTAAACCCTACGTACGCATTTGCGCATTCATCAATTGCTCCCCTGAGTACAGTCTCAATATACTCCAAGTAGCTCCACGAGTCTGCAGCCCACAACAGAAACCCTAAACCCTAAACCCTAAACCCTAAACCCTAGATGGCGTCCCTTAAAGCAGCCAGCAGCCCTACTACGACTACAACGGATCCAACACGCAGTCCTATTAGGGTTTAGGGTTTAGGGTTTACGGACCTCGTGCCTCTTGGTCTGCTGTACACAGGAGCTCCAAAACCCTTCCTCTCTTAAGTATGCCAGCCTTAAGGAAAGCATGAAGAGTTAATGCCGTCCTGCATACACATAAACCCTAAACCCTAAACCCTAAACCCTAAACCCTAAACCCTAATTGAACCCAAAAAACCCTAGCCCACTAAACGGAGCATTTATAAAACAGAAGATAAGGGTTTATGACAGAGAAGGGTTTAGGGTTTAGGGTTTACCTTTGTTGGGAGGTAGTCCAATACTTAAGTATAGCCTGCAGAACAGGCGGGTGTATATCGATCTCTTCCTGCTGCTGCTGCTGCTGCTGCTGCTGGTGTTGGTGTTCCTCCTCCTCCATCTGCTGCTCTCCCTCTCCCTGCTCCTGCTGCTGCTGCTGCTGCTGCTGCTGCTGCTGCTGCTGCTGCTGCTGCTGCTGTGTAGAATATAGAAGAAAAGTATATGAATAATTAAATAATACCCTATTTAGATGTGTTTGTGTTTTACTACCTAAAGAAAGAAGAGAAAAAACAAAAAGTTTTATTATTTCTTCTTGTGACCATTGGTCACCTGAGGTGTCTAGGCAGCAACGATCTAATGCAGCTACTGCAGCAGATACTACATCATTATCATCTCCTCCTCCTCCTCCTCCTCCTGCTGCTCCTGTTGCTGCTGCTCCTCCTGCTGCTGCTGCTGCTGATCCTTCTTCTCCTTCCCGTCCTGATAATAATGGTCGGTCTTCTTCTATACGTTCACCATCTCCTGCTGCTGCTGCTGCTGCTGCTCCTGCTGCTGCTCCTGCTGCTTCGGGGTCTTCAGCTGTATCCACAGCTACAGGAGCTTCAGATGAATCTTCTCCTCCTGCTGCTGCTGCTGCTGCTTCTGTTTCTGCTGCTGCTGCTGCTGCTGGCGCTCCGTCAGTGTCCATGGAGTCCTCTGTCCCTGAATATACCACACAACACCATACACAAACCCTACTAAACCCTAAACCCTAAACCCTAAACCCTAATAAGTGTTTGTGCGTATTGCAAGTTTAGGGTTTAGTAATTTATTTCTTTCTTACCTTTTCTTGTGTCTTCTTCCTCCTCATCTTTTTGCTGCTCCTTTTCCTGATCCTCTTGCTGCTGTTGTTGTTGTTGTTGCTGCTGCTGCTGCTGCTGTTTCTGCTGCAGTTGCTGCAGCAGCTGCTGCTCTAATGGACCCTTACTCTTATACCTCCCTGTTAATGCAACAAGGAGCCTATACACCCCAATTATATTTTCTTTCTTCTCTTCTTCCCCATTAAAAGAAAAGCGTAACATTTGTCTTAATAAAGAAAACTCAGCAATACCTACAGGAGAAGAGGGGGCCCCCTGGGGGCCCCCTGATATATCCCCTGATGAATCCCCTAATAGGGGGCCCCCCTCACCAGGGGCCCCCTCCTCTGTGGGGCCCCTACTACCAGCAGGGGCAGGGGTTAGACATAAATAAGGGTTTTGCGGTACTACTCTTGGGGGTAAGAGATTCTTTACACAACTAGGGATAGAAAGGGCCTATAAGGAAAAAAAAAAGGAGACAAAAAAAAAAAAGAAGGGAGACAATAAATAAAGGAGACAAAAAAAGAGAGGAAACAATGAATAAAGGAGACAAAAAAAGAAAGGAGACAATATATAAAGTAGACAGGAAGAAATAGGTAATAAAAATTATACCATAAACCCTAAACCCTAAAAAATCAAACCCTAAACCCTAAACCCTAAACCCTAAACCCTTTATTGTCTTACAAGTGCATCAGGATAATTAATTCGCATAGCTTTCTCTAAGGAAAGAGACAAAAATAATTTAATAGATGGAGGTATTTTGCCTATTCCTCCTAATTCCTCTAATAAATTACTTCCTCCTCCCCATACATTTAGCCAATAACCAAAGAAATCCGATAATGTCTGCATCCATATATATATATAAACCCTAAACCCTAAACCCTAAACCCTAAACCCTAAACCCTAAACCCTAAAACCCTAAACCCTAATATCGCAGAATATTCAATATCTAATATTATTGCATAATACATACATGGATCCCTGCCTCTCTCCCTCCCCTCCCTCCCTGCATGCATGAATATAAATAAATAAATAAATAAATAAATAAATGAATAGGAATAATTTACCATTAGGGTTTGATGATCAAAATCAAAAGAATGATTAAGTATACTTTTAATTAGGGTTTGTACAACAGGAAGAAGAGTGTTTTGTAGTTGGCATAGACGATGTAATAAACGTAAATAAATAAAATATGTATCTTTGTATTCTTTTATTAATAAACAAGAACGAGGTAATCGTAACATTTCGCTTAATACACACTGCAACAAATATTACACACACACAGCAGCAGCAGCAGCAGCAGCAGCAGCAGTAGCAGCAGTAGCAGCGGCAGTAGGGGAGGAGGAGGGGGAGAAGCAGCAGCAGGAATAGCAGCAACAGAAAGCAGAAAAAAAAAAAGAATAAATTGAATTCATAGGAAGGAATAAAGGGAAAGGAAAAGGGATATTGCAAATTGCATGCATGCAAATGCATGCATGCAATTTGGGGCTTTCTATACCTAAATTAGGGTTTAGGGTTTAGGGTTTAGGGTTTAGGGTTTACCTCGACTAGTACATATTCAAATTGGGGATGATCAACAGGAACACGAAGAAGTTGTTCAGCACAAAGAGAAATATTTGGCAAAAAATTCCTTATTGTTGTAAGAAAATGGTCCTCTAGTATCCTATAAAATAAACCCTAAACCCTAAACCCTAAACCCTAAACCCTAAACCCTAGGATTCCAAAAAATCGGAAACAGAGGAGTCTATGGAGTAAATATGCAAACCCTTAGTACCATGGTAAGTGCCACGCAACCCCCAAACCCTAATAAACACTAAACCCTAATAAACCCTAAATCCTAATAAACCCTAAACCCTAGTAAACCCTAAACCCTAAACCCTCGAGCTTACCACTGGTCGTGTGGAGGTAGAGGAACATTAACATGCTCAAGGGTTGCGGGTAATCTAAGGACAGTATCTAATGGAGGCATACGCAAGGAAGAGAGGTTTAGGGTTTGTATATCTATAGGCGGTAAATCTAATAAGGGGGGCCCCTCCCCTGTTGATGGGTACAGTAGGGGCCCCAAATCATTAGATTGATAGAAACGTAATGTTGAACGAGAATGCCACTCCGCCTAATACAGACACATAAACCCTAAACCCTAAACCCTAAACCCTAAACCCTAGGAACGGACGGACCGTCATAAACCCTAAACAATACTAAACCCTCAAACCCTAAATCAACAACTCCTCGGCTAAAACATCATCACTACCAACTCACAAACCCTAAACCCTTCTTCACCCCTCTCCCCGCAGCCCCCTAAACCCTAAACCCTAAACCCTAAACCCTAAACCGTAAACCCTAAATCCTTACGTCAATCATGGAGTCAATAGCATCTAACAGAGCCGCCAATCGATCAGTGGTGGTTAGTGTTGCTGTTTCTTTTGTATCTTGTGTATCTCCCTTATTATCTTGTGCCCCTTGTTGGCCTCCTTGTTGGCCCCCTTGGGGGCCCCCATGGGGGCCCCCAACCTCATTATTAGGGCCCCCTGATGCAAGGGGCCCCGTAAAGGGCTGAGTTGCTGCTAATAATAAAGATGTATTTTTATCAGGGTTTGTATTTGGACAATCTAATACCTCCACCAATGAGGCATGATGAGCCTCATACATTTTTATACTTAACCATGGTAACGAACTCTGAATATAAACCCTAAACCCTAAACCCTAAACCCTAAACCCTAAACCCTAAAATCCTAAAACCATAAAATAATAAATAATTAAATATAAATTGTAAACCCTAAACACTTGATTTTTAATCAACTGTTTGCTATGTAGTATGAAGGGGACGAGGGAACGGTAGATGTGTCTAAAGGAATTAGGGTTTACAAATTAGGGTTTAGGGTTTAGGGTTTAGGAATTACCATAGCTGTATGTGCTATATGCTCCGCGGTGGTTTGGGGAAGATCATTTGCTGCTTGCAACAAACTCTTCACAACCTCTATCACTGGACCCTGCACACAAACCCTAAACCCTAAACCCTAAACCCTAAACCCTAAACCCTAAACCCTAGACCCTAGATCCTAAAACCCAAACCCTAAACCCTAAACCCTAAAAAAGGAGTTACTCTGCTGCGTTTTCGCGAGGATATTTGTTCCCATCCAATTAGTGTTTACGTATGGATTAGGGTTTATGAGGATTAATTAGGGTTTAGGGTTTAGGGTTTAGATATACTTACAAGTTTGAGTACATTACTACTAGCAAGACCAAAGAAGAATCTTAATAATAATTTAGCATAAATTAAAAACCCTTTTTTTATAAACCCTAAACACTCATTAATTGATCTAAGCACTAAACCCTCAACAAAACCACGAAGACGATTCTTTCTATATAATAAACCTACGCATGCAGCGTACATACCTATAAAAAAAAAAGAAAAAAAAAGATATATAAATATTATTTATTTATTTATTTATTTATTTATTTATTTAGCTAACTAGTTGGATAGTTAATTAGGGAAAGAAAAAAGAAACCATCAACCCTCAAACCCTAATCGTAAACCCTAATCGTAAACCCTAAACCCTAAAACCCTAATCTTGAAACCCTAAACCCTAAACCCTAAACCCTAAACCCTAAACCCTGATATCGTACCCGTTTTGACGGGTAATTTAGCAGCACAAGAGACAATAAGATTAATTAATTCTTCCTCTAGATTAAAGGGTTTAGGGTTTTGTTTATTTTCTTCTTTTTTCTTTTTTTCTTGCGGTGTATCTGCACCATTTGCTGCTGCATCTGTATCTGCTGCTGCTGCTGCATCTGTTTCTATATCTTGCTGCTGCTGTTTTTCTGTATTATCCTCCCCATCAACATCTACTTCTGCATCTGTCCTTGCTGCTGCTGCTGCTGTTGCTGCTGTTGCTGCTGTTGCTGCTGCTGCTGCTGCTGCTGCTGCTTCCTCCTCTCTATTCTTAAGGATTATTTCTGCTATACTATGCGATAGATCTATTATCTGTGTAGGTATAAGACAAACATCATCACCAATTGTAATTATTCTTCTTTTTAGTCCTTCGTAGGCAGCAGCAGCAGCAGCAGCAGCAGAAGGAGGTCCTGCTGCTGCTGCTCCTCCTCCTGCTCCTCCTCCTCCTGCTGCACCACCACCACCACCTTCGTAACGCATATGCGGGGGTCCACCATACCCACTG